CCCCCTGTAGGGATCTAACTTGACAACCCAGATCTACACCAACTTTGTATTTTACCAAGGAACAAACTGAAACTCAAGAGAGGACTCCTTAACATTTTGAGGTCACCCAGCTGGTGACAGGTAAAGCCACACTGCCCCGTAGATGAAAGGCACATTTCAGCCAAATTAAGTCTGTTCCCTGCCAGCATCATCGTCATCGCCGTTTCATTACACCGTCATCCATTTTGTGATGACTTAGATGTGTTATGCCATTATCTTCCATAGTAGCCAATGTCCAGAGGTGGGTTTTCCGCTCATGCAGAAAAGAAAGTGCTAAGAATGTAGGTTTACTAATGAAGCTTGAAGTCATTCCCTTGAGTAGATGTCAGTGGATTTGTGGGAAGCCCAGTGAGGGGGGAGTTCTTTCTGGAATTCAGCTTGACTAACAAGGCAGGACCATCTTCAGCTTCCAAACCCTGAAGTCTCCTCATCACAGTAGACTTTTCTTGAGCAGTTGACCTGCACTGTCCTAGGACCTGGAAGGGAGGCACAAAGTCTGAAGCCAAGGTGTGTTGTAGTGAGAACCAAGGCTATCTGCGAGGAGACAGGTGACTCCGGTCTGAAGACAGAGTAATGAGGTCTGTTGTAGAAATGCAGACAGCTCTAGAACTCTAAGCAGACTGGCTTAGTGGAAGAGGAGGCATTTTTGTGCCATAGCCCTGGCTACCTGCCCTGTCTCGAGCCTGAGAACCTCCCCACACATCATGGTTGTGACGAAGTTGAAATCATTCAGGCATGTATTAGGAGTTTTTCAAACGCAAGTGAGGAATCTCATCTCAAAAATGCCTTTAAATACGTTACACACAAGTCTGGGAGAGGGTCAGGCACAGTGAGATCCAGAATCACAAGTGAACCCATCAAGCCCTTGGCACTGTGTCTTTCTGTCTCCTATTTCCAGTTTGCTGCATTGTCAGACAACCTATATATTCATGGTGATAAGATGGCTACCAGCAGCCCTAGGCTCACATCCTCCGTGCCAGAAATCTCATAGAAAAGCCCCTCCTTCTCAGTAACTCCAGCAACAATCCAAGACCTAGTCTCAGACCCAGCTTGCATTGATGGCCCATCCCTGAACTGATTTATGGAGGCCAGACAGTTGGGATGCTCTAATCCATCCTGGGTCATGTTCCCACCCCTGGTGCTACAGGGAGGATACAAACCCAAGTAAACTGAGAGTTAAGGATGAGTCCAAAGTCAAGCAAAATGTGGTTCCCAGGGAAATCATAAATGGATGCTGAGCAGGCAAAAACAAGGCATGGAGCACCGACATCTGCTGCAGCATGGATGAACCTGGAAAACATTATGCCAAGCAAAAGATGCAGACACAAAAGACCATATATTGTATGACTGCCTTTATATGAACTATCTAGAATTGGTAAATCCATAGAGGCAGGAGACAGACCGATGGTTACCAGGGGCTAGCCTGAATGGGGAGTGGCTGCATAATGTGTATGGGGTTTTCTTTTGGGGGCTGATGAAATGTTTTGAAGCTAGGCAGGGGTGACAGTTGGATAGCATTGTTAATGAACTAATTCCACTAAACTGTACACCTTAAAATGCTTAATTTTAAATCACTGCTGTCCTAACAGGGCCCCTGGTCCCCCTCCAGTCTGCATGGAGCCTGCATGGAATAGGCACTTGGTGCCGCCTGTAGGAATCCACACAGTGCCTTTGTGGAAAATAGAAAAGGCAGCTCTTCCTCAAGACACTTAGATCCCATTGATCATAAAATCATTTCTTGGTCTCTCGTTGTTTTACATTGTGTGGACGTCAGCCTTATTAAAAACGTATGACCTTCCCAGTCTGTCATCTGCCCAGAGCAATCTCCCAATGAAGCCAAACTGGTCTGCTCCTCAGGCCGCTGATTAGTCTGTTTTCTGTGTAGAATGTCCATTTTCTCTCCTCCTTGCAGCCCTCCCAGCCTGACTCAGGCCCTGCCTCATCCGTGACACCATTCCTGACCACCAACCAAGTCCACAGCATGCTGGCTTTTCAGCCTTGCTCTAGTCCCCATTTTTCCAGAAGTTCCTCAAAACTCATTTAACCTATGGTTACATGTGCCTGTGTCACATTTGCGCAGTGAGACTGTGAATTCCTACAATATAAAGCCTGTTGTTTATAGTGTTTCCTGTCTTCCACTGTACCCACCACGAGGCTGGGAGTGTGGTAGGTGCTGGACATGCGTTTGCTTATTGATGGATTGAGTATCTATCCATTCTGCGAATACTCACTAAGCATTTACTGTGTGCCAGGCACATAGTGATAAGCAAAAACAAGAACCACCCTAGCTACCTGAAACTTACAGTCTACTGGAAAGGGTAGACAGTAATCACAGAAATGTGCTATGGCAAGTTGCTAAGTTCATACACATGTAAAACAGGGTTAATAAAAGTACTGTCTGTGGGGTTTTCATGAAAGTTAAAGTAGATAATCCACATAAAGCCCTTGGAATGATAATGCTCATATGTTTTCATTGCCATGGTGATGGTGGTAGTGATAATGGGGATGAAGATGGTGGTGATACTGAAATCGGTGATGATGGTTGTGATGGTGGTGATGATGACGGTGATGGTGATGACAGTGGTGATAATGAAAATGGTGATGATGGTAGTAATGACGATGGTGGTAGTGACAGTGATGATAATGAAAATGGTGATGATTGTAATGGCAATGATGGTGGAAGAAATCACAGTGTTGTAAGACTAAGGACTGCGAGAGTAACTTTCGGTCTGCAATGTGATCGATGAATTGAAGTTCACTCGGGGGAGAGGAAGAGGACGATCATTCCCAGCACATACAGAATCCATGACCAGAAGGCATGTGTGTAAGGAAGCTGTGGTGGTGTGGAGAAGCATTCATACGATAGAGTTATTTATAAGGGCTTGAAAAATCCAGAGTCCTGGTCATGTGTAAGGGCTAGCAGGCTCAAGGAGCAGAAAGATCCCTGGGTTCAACTCTAGACTGTAAGCTCCCATCTAAATAGCTTCTTGGGAGCAGAGATCATCCTTACTTCTCATTGACCCCCACCATGAGCCAGCACAGTACCTGACACATAATATGTGAAAATGGTGATAGTGGTGGTGATGATGAAGATGGAGATGATGATGATGGTGGCAGTAACAGTGATGATAATGAAAATGGTGATGATGGTAATGGCAATGATGATTATGTGTGCAATGAATGCTAACTGCTAATGGACTGAGCATTTGGGTCAAAAGGCTTGGTTCTAGCTCCGTCTACCCTTCCGACACGCCCGTGTCACCAGCTCTGGGACCTGAACAGCTTTGGTTTCTGCATCTACAAAATAGGAAATGCCAACTCTGCCCAGCTTGCCTTGCAAAATTCCAAACAAGATGATTATATGTATATAGTTCCTAAAGTAGGAGTTATTAATCTAGGGTTCATGGGAAAAATTCAGGAGAGGTTTGTGACTTTGGATGAGAAGAAAATGGTATCTTTTTTAGTGAAATTTCAACTGAAATCTAGCTAAATGTAGGTAACAAATCACAGTAGTGTTAGCAGTAACTGACTCAGTCACCAGTAGGAATCATCTATTTTCCTAGCACATTATAGTTGGTGCAGATACCTCTAAATATCATTTATGCTCACCACTACTTCAAAATTACAGGAGGTAGGCCGGGCGTGGTGGCTCACACCTGTAACCCCAGCACTTTGGGAGGCCAAGGTGGGTGGTTCACCTCAGGTCAGGAGTTCAAGACCAGCCAGGCCAACATGGTGAAACCCCATCTCTACTAAAAAGCCAAAAAAAAAAAAAATTAGCTGGGTGAGGTGGCACGTGCCTGTAATCCCAGCTACTCGGAAGGCTGAGGCAGGAGAATCACTTGAACCCAGGAAGTGAAGGTTGTGGTGAGCCAAGATCACGCCACTGCACTCCAACCTGAGCTACAGAGTGAGACCCTGACTCAAAAAAAAAAAATATATATATATATATATACACGTATATATATGTGTATATATATATACGTATATATATATATCATACATTCAGTGTTTTGAAATGTATTTTGTAATCCAGGCCCCATGCAGTAGCTCACACCTATAATCCCAGCGCTTTGAGAGGCCAAGGCAGGAGGATCGCTTGAGGCCAAGTTTTACGCCAGCCTAAGCAACATCGTGAGACCCCGTCTCTACAAAAAATTTAAGCAGCAGCCAGACATGGTGGTGCATGCCTGTAATCCCAGTGCTTTGGGGACCTGAAGCCAGAAATTCACGACCAATCTAGACAACATAGTGAGATCCCATCTCTACAAAAATAACTTTCAAAATCAGTTCTATCTACTCAGGAGCCTGAGGCAGGAGGGTCACCTGAGCCCAGGAGTTTGAGGCTGCGGGGAGCTAGGATCACACCAGTGCTCTCCAGCCTAGGCAACAGAACATGACCCTGTCTCAAAAAATTAAAATTTAAAAAATGTTGTAATCCTGTATATTATGTGTGAGTCAAGAAGCACAGGCATTACTATATATCAGAACTTTGGTGGGTTTTTATTATTCACTGTTTCATAACTCTGTATATTTTATTGTATGCATCGAAGAGCACTGTTCTGAGATAAGGATCCATAGTCTGCATTCACTAAACTGCCAAGGCCTCTATGGCATAAGGAGATTATTGCCAAAGTTCTCTAGAGAAGGAGTAGCTGTAGGAGATCATCATTGTCATCTGACTGTGCTGGGTAAATCCCCTGGGCTCTCTAAGCCTCAGTGCCCTCATATGGAAATTGGGGGTCAAATAGTACCTGCCTCATAGGGAGAAATACAGTGACGTGCCTCACTTGTGGGGATCAAGTGATAAACTCCACGCAGAGCCCTCGCTCAGTGCCTGGCACACAGCAGGCACTCAAAAAATGCCGTCATCGCTATGATTGTGTTGTTTTGTTTGGACTCTGGCTGGAGTTCTGTCTTTCAGGACACCTCTGGGCTAAGGGCAGCTTTCTCTCTCCCAGGTTCATTCGGAAGCAGGGCCTGGATCGGCTCTTCCTGGAGTGCGACGCTCACATGTGGCGCCTGGGAGATCGGCGGATCCCAGAGGGCATCGCCGTGGATGGTGGCTCGGACTGGTTCCTGCTGAACCGGAAGTTTGTAGAGTATGTGACGTTCTCCACAGACGATCTGGTGACCAAGATGAAACAGTTCTACTCCTACACCCTGCTTCCTGCCGAGGTGAGTATCTGGGAAAAAATTCCCAAGAAAGGTAGGGGCTTGTTCTAGCCTTTGTGGCAAAGCAGATGCTGAATTTTTGGCAAAGAGATTCTGGGTCCACCTACATTGTCCTCTACACATCCAGACATCCTTGCTGTCTTAGCAGGGTCCCTGATCTCCCTCCAGTCTGCACAGAGGCTGCGTGGAGTAGACACACGGTGCCACCACCAGCAGTCCACACAGTCTTTGTGCAAAATAGAAAAGGCAGCTCTTCCTCAAGATACTTGGCTTTCATTGGTCATAAAAATCACACGATATACAGATTTTGTTAGAACAAGAATCTTACTGCTATTTTCCAGAAAACTGTTATTTAAAAAACCCTTCTGATATCCACAATGCTGACGGTACCCCTAAAAGGTATGTAGCACATAACCTGCACAACTGTAAATGCTGACCCTTTCAGGACATACCCACATTGACTTTTCTTTTTTTTGTTTGAGACAGAGTCTCCCTCTGTCACCCAGGCCGGAGTGCAGTGGCTCAATCTCTGCTCACTGCAACCTCCACCTCCCAGGTTCAAGCAGTTCTGCTGCCTCAGCCTCCCGAGTAGCTGGGATTACAGGTGCCCACCACCACACCCAGCTAATGTTTGTATTTTTAGTAGAGACAGGGTTTTGCCATGTGGGCCAGGCGGGTCTTGAACTCCTGGCCTCAAGTGATCCTCCTACCTCAGCCTCCCAAATTGCTGGGATTGCAGGCATGAGCCACCATGCCCGGCCCCCACATCAACTTTTGACACATCCTTCACAGTGACCAATCGTGCAATGACCACCTTTTTACACCAAGCATCCCTTTTCTCATGTTGAATATTGCCCTATCGTTCCCTGAAGAAAAGGGTGTTGGTTTCATGAGTCATACTCCATTAATCCAGAGTATTCTAAAACAGCCCCATCTAGAAGTGGGGAGGGGATCCAGTTCTGAAGGATTGCCACTAACATTCCCATAGCTGCCTGCTGGTCAGAGCTGGGCTGAGGGATTCCAGATTCCTCTTCCTGACCTCCAGGTTGATTGCATCCTCATTTCCAATCCAGCTTGAGAAAAGTGCAGAGCTGGTTCCATTTCTGTTGCATCTATGGCATTTCTCATGAATGGTCCCTTGTTCCTTCCTTGGACCACATAGGCTACGTGTGTTTCTGCAGGCCAGACACCCAGCACATCTCTTGCCTGTGTCTAGGGCAGTGCCAGGCTCCGGGGAGGGCTGACTGCGTCCTGGTCACCCAGAGGGATGATGAGCTTGTCATCACTGGGCCAGGTTTTACTATTCTGCACACATGTTAAGTAATCAGCTTTTAATCCTATTTCAGCAAAAATCACCTCTTCTCTCAATTCTGATAACCTCCTCATCCATTATCTTGCAGGGAATTTCTGTATCATTATGAAAGGACACAGGGCAATTGGTGATTGGGTACTTTCCCCACTGCTTGATGGAGAATATATGCCTCACTGGGCTTGAAGGCAATTCGAGCTTAAAATCCAGGTTCATGGGCATGCCATTTACCGTCACAGAAAGGTCAGCAGGGGGTGGTGGGTGGAGCCTCATTTACCCACCCATCCATTTAGAAGAGATTGTTTGGGAGTTTGGCTATTTTTAATCAAGACATCACCTCAATCCTGGTGACCAAAGCTCCGTGTGTGCTTCCTCTGCCCCTCCCTGGCCCCAGCACACACAAGCACATGTACTCCAGGGTCTCTGTTCAGTCCCACCTCCTGCATCTCTGCCTTCCCTCCATTCTCCCAGACCACTTCAAGAGGACTGGTTTAGGGACTGGTTTAGAAGATATCAGAAGACCGTACCCATAAACTTATAAGAGGCAGACACAGATTCCCCAACAGCTTCCCTTAGGGAGAGAGAACAGGGAGGAGGTATATTCGCCTGGGACTGTCATAAAACAGTGTTGAAATATTATAAGAAATATTATAAAAATCTTTCTGTCACTCTCTGGCAATCTCTCAAGTACTCCAGTGATTGTTTGTTTCTCCTCTAGTTTTTCTTTTCAGATCCAACATGGCCTCTTAGATCCCTTAAAAAGGTTGGCCAAGAGTCTTGGGGTTAGGGAGAATATATGGCACCTGGTTCAGTACCATGGACAGCAAGCAGCCCCACCTACTCCCTTCCCTATGTTGCAGTCCTGCAATGCAGGAAGCCCTGGGTCTATTGCAACCATCAATTTGGTCTCCCTGCCCCGGGGTGAAATTCCAGATCACTAGTCTTTGTTAGCCAACTATTTCAGACTTGAATCCCTTTGATTTCACATAATCTGTTGGACAGAGCATCCACCTGCACTCTGAGTTGGACCACATGGGCAGCTGACCTCAAATGCATGCAGAGAACATAAGAGTCCCTTGAATGTCGGGTAGTTGTGTTACGCATTTTTGCATCGCTATGAGGGAATATCTGAGGCTTGGTAATTTATAAAGAAAAGTTTATTTGGCTTGTGGTTCTGCAAGCTGTACAGAAAGCGGCCCAGCTTCTTTAAAACAACCAGTTCTTACATGAACTCAGAGCAAGAGTTCACCCTTTCCCACCCCAGTCCCTTTGTGGGAGGCTGGGAGAGGTCTCAGGCTAGGCCCCTCTCTCCCTTGCAGTCCTTCTTCCATACGGTCCTGGAGAACAGCCCCCACTGCGACACCATGGTGGACAACAACCTGCGCATCACCAACTGGAATCGCAAGCTGGGCTGCAAGTGCCAGTACAAGCACATCGTGGACTGGTGCGGCTGCTCCCCCAATGACTTCAAGCCACAGGACTTCCACCGCTTCCAGGTGAGACTTTCTCCTGGCCTGCCAACCTCCTAAATGATGCCTTTCCAACAAACCTCTGCAGAAATCCAAGGCCAGACCTGCAGATCATCTTACCACATGGTGGCCAAACCTGGCTGTTGATAAATAACAGTAACAGCAACAATAGCCAATGTTTATTGAACACTTAACTCTAGGTCAGGGCTGTTCTAACCACATTGACTCATTAACCCAAAAGCAACTGACCTTTCATATTATTATTCCATTTTAGGGATATGAAAACTGAGGCACGGAAAGGTTAAAAAAAAAATTTCCAAAGGCCATATGCATGTCATCCTCTCTTTATTGCCTTTTCGTCAGAATCTCCCAGAATATTTAAATTTATACCCAGGAATATGCTTTTAAGTATATCTAGGGCAGAGCTTTTCAACCTCAGAACTCTTGCCATTGTGGCCAGATGATCCTGTTAGGAGGTGCTGTCCCATGCCTGGGTGGGATGTTTAGCAGCACCTCTGGTTGAGAACCACTGATCTCCAGTGATATCGATGACTTTGTATTTTCAATGAATTGTACTTTTCTGAGGAGCAGCCAGGTTTGGAAACCATTGTGTTCTGTGTACTTGAAAGAGTAACAAGAGGTAGAACATTATTCCCTTTACAGCTGTCTCTGGGCAGCCTAACAATTTACTGTTCTGGGGAAGGGCAGAGCAGGAGGGTGGGGAATGGTCATCCACTTACCATGAGCCCTGAGAGTGGCCCCAAGATGGGCACCCCTTCCTGCTCTGCTCCCTCCAAGCCAGGATGGTGGCTTCGTCCTCTACCCCTCCCCACACCTAGCAGCAGAGAGCACAAATATGAATGCCCCTAAATGGTTCAACGAATCACTCTGAGGTCACTAGAGCCACCGTGTAGAGATGGTATGCTACTTCCCAAACCACTGACACAGGGAAGGCAGGGACACCGTGCCAAGCTCATAGCCGAGGTGCCCCTGATGTGTGACTGGGATGCTGTTCATGTTTGATCTTCTCTGTGCCAGGCTGTGTGGTCATTGGGTTTACTGGGGCAGACGTCACTTTTATTGTTCAGGTAGGGAAACTGAGGCATGGAGGGGTGTTCCAAGAGGGGTTTCTTCCAGTAGTCCCTGCTGCCTTCCTGGTTTTGTGCCTGTATGAGTGCGGGGTACGCTGCAGGTTTTATCTGTCATTCGTATTCGCCTCAAGGTTCCCACCCAGCAGCTCCAGCCACCTTAAGCTAGCAGACAGGGAGCTGCTTAAACACACATCTTCCCTGCAGAAAGGATCTGCTGAGCAGAAAGAGGGTTGCAGGGGAATGTTTGTTTGACCTAGTCACTGAATTCCCACCTTTGGAGAGGACCTGTCCCTCACTGTCCTAATCGCAGAGAATCTTCACTTGGAGCACAGAACCTCCGTGTGGTGATTCCCGGAGCCCCACACTCCCCCAGGCACCAGCATTTGTATCCTAGCCCGGCATCCAGGGGACATTGGAGCCTCTGATGAAGACTGCTTCATGTGCTCACAGCAAGCGAAGATTAAGAGTATTCCCAAGAGCTAGAGTGAAGACACTGCTGCCTGTAAGGAACTCAGAGTTCTTGAACTTGGAGAGAAAGAATAATAAATATAGCAACATGCCCTTTTAGAAGATCCAGCTATGGTCAGAATCGCAGGCAGAGAAAGGAGTTTATCCTGCCCCCGAGGCCAGTCCTCTGCCCCTACATGGGTTCCTGGCAACCAGGGGCTAGTGATAATAATCAAATATCAGCCTACACTGTGTGCTAGACACTATGCTAGCAACCCATTTTAAGGATGCTGAGGCCTGGAGAGTTTGAGTGACTTCACCTGCACAGCTAGACAGTAGCCAAATGAGGATTTGAACTCAGGTGGTCTAACTCTCCACCGTGCTACTGTGAAAGGAACCCACCACAGAGAGGTTTCCTGAAGCAGATTGGCGATGAGATGTTTAGAATAACACCAAGGGTACGAAGTTGCCTCAATCCTGGAGTGATGCAGTAGAGAAAGCTTAGATTTTGGAGTCATGCATTTGGAGTGTGAGTCTGTACCCTACTGCTTTGCCTCTCTGAGCTCAGTTTTCTCATCTGTAAAATGGGAATCTTAATACCTGCCTTGCCAAATTATGTGGAAAATGAGAGGCACTGATATAAGTGCACTGCCCTGAATATTGTGTGTGGTCAGTAGTTATTGCTGCTATTAATCTACCACCATGAAAACAGGGCTGGACCCACATTTAGGTCAATAACAAACACTAGACTGTAATAAGCTCCTCCAGGGAGAGGCCTGTTTTATTTGTTTCTGCAGCCCTGCACAAGGGGTCAGCAAACTCTAGCCCTGGGGGCCACAGTCAGCCCACTGCCTGCTTCCGTAAATGAAGTTTTATTGGAACACAGCCATACCCATTTATTTAGTTTCTTGTCTGTGGCTGCTTTTATGCTGTAAAAGCAGAGTTGAGTGGTTTCAAAGCTATTTTCAATATTTACTGTCTGGCCTTTTACTGAATATAAAGTATAAAACCTCATAGATTACAGGTGCTTAGTATTTCTTTAACCCTCGACCCTGACTCTTCATCCCATCTCTGCCAAGGACTTGCTGTGTGTTCTCAGGTAAGTCTCTTACTGTCTCTGGGCCTGTTTCCTTGAGAGTTTGAATGATAATCACCTGGGATTTTTTTTTTATGTTTTAGCTACACTTCAGAGCTATTGACTCAGTAGGTCCTTTTACTTTGAGACAGAGTCTTGCTCTGTAACCCAGGCTGGAGTGGAATGGAACAATCTTGGCTCACTGCAACCTCTGCCTCATGAGTTCAAGTGATTCTCCTGTCTCAGCCTCCTGAGTAGCTGGGACTACAGGTGTGTGCGCCTGGCCTGGAATCTGAATTTTTCAAAGTCCCAGAGATTCTGATCCCTTGTGAGTCTGCAAGTTGGCTGAAATACCAAAGAGGCAATAGGGCATGGTGGAGACTGCAGTGAGCAAAAAAATCTAGGTGCTGTCTAAAGGAACAGCTGCCATTCAGCTTTAACCAGTTGTTACCACATGGTGTATAGACCTGGGGTTGCCAGATCTATTGTTGTTTAAAGAGAAGCCAAAAGAGTTTCTGTGAACTCTTTCATGTTTTAAATATGGCCAGCTAAAATACATATTTGCCCTAGATTACTAGCCTGTGACCTCTACCTAAATGAGGTCTGAGATCCATCCCAGCTATTACCATCTAAAATTTAGTTCATTTAACAGACATCTAAATGATGCTTATTGCTTTAGATGCTCTGCACAGACTAACTCATTTAACCCTCCTCACACCCTTATTATAACCCATTCTACAGATGTTGAAACTGAGAACACAGAAGTGCAGAAAGTGTCATGGATCCAGCAGAGCTTTGCTTCTAACCACAGGATATGCCTGCAGGTTCCCCCCACCCCCAGCACTTGCTGATTTGGTTTTTCTTTTTTTAATTCCATGAGTACAGCAGACAGCCCGGCCTACCTTCTTTGCCCGCAAGTTCGAAGCTGTGGTGAATCAGGAAATCATTGGGCAGCTGGACTATTACCTGTACGGGAACTACCCTGCAGGTACCCCGGGCCTCCGCTCTTACTGGGAGAATGTCTATGACGAGCCTGATGGCATCCACAGCCTGAGCGACGTGACACTCACCTTGTACCACTCCTTTGCCCGCCTGGGTCTTCGACGGGCCGAGACATCCCTGCACACGGATGGGGAGAACAGCTGCCGGTGAGTCCTATATGGGATGCAGGGAGGGGAGCTGAGAAGCAGGAGGAGGCTCAGGGTGCAGAGGGGGGGCCCTTCCTCCTCTTTAGGGATCTGCAGTGCAATGCCACCCTATGCTTTCTGTCTTCCTTTGCCCAAAATTCATCTAACGCCACCCTCCTAGCGTGCATGGCATTTCCAATGCAAGCCATTGCCACACTTTGAGCTTTACTTTCTCAGATACCAGATACCCTATGTACCCAATGATTTTACTCATTCTTCATGCTACGTATATATACACTTTAGAAGGAAGCTTTATGTCACCATACCATATGAAGCATTTGTCTTAAGTGGAAGGTAGCCACGAATATACAAAACTTTTTTTGATGGAAAATGTCAAAGATGTACAACATAGAACAGTGGAACCCCATGTTCCCATCACCCAGCCCCGACAATTTCCAACTCAGGGCTGATCTTGTTTCATCTGTTTCATTTTCATCTTCACCCACCTTCCGCCTCCTCCCAGATCAGTTTGAAGTCAATCCCAGACATCCTATCATTTCAGCCATCAATATTTTAATAATGTATCTCTGAAAAATAACTCTTTGAAACACATTCACCATAATGTCATCACACCTAAAAATATCACAAAGAAAATTAATAGGCAGAACTATTGTTGAAACTTCTCAGCCACCCCTTACAATCGTCTCACCTACCACTACCTGCCGACACTTCAGGAAAGAGCATTCTAGAAGATGTGGAAAGAAGAGGGGGAGGTAGGAAAATAATTCAACATAATCCCTTCTCCTCCCGTCTCTTTCCCTAAGCCAGCCAAGGCTGTCATGTTGTGTACCCTTTCTTTTGTTCTGAAGCAATATGCGTTTTGGATATTTACATAATTGCACCAAGAATTGGGTATCCTGTTTTCTTCCCTTGGCATTATACTCTTAGCCCCCATTTCTCCACAATGCTCTGTAGCTTCCGCAACGATAATGATTCTTTTTAATGCCTCTAGTATTCCACTGAGCAGAAGTTCTAGAGTTTGCTTAATCCGGCCCTTCACTGTTGCCATTGTCAGTAATGTGCCATTGTAAACAATGTTCTGATGAATATCTTTTCGCAGAAATCCCTTTTTTTCCCATTCTCTTTTCTGATTATTTCCTTAATCACTCTCCTTCTTTTTCTTGTTCGTTTAAACAACCTAGCATCTTCAGTTTCTGACGGGGCTCGGGGGAAGAATGTTCACTGACTGTCTGAAAACACAGCCAGGTTTCCCGCCTGGTGTCTTGTCCCTGGCCAGCAAGGTTTCTGCAGGATTGTGACACTGTCCCATCACCTCCTCCCATCCCTCGGCTTCTCTCTCCGTAAAGTTTCTGATGTAGTTTAAAGGGAGACTAGTGTTGGTTAGGAATCTAGGACCTGCAGTTTAAACTCTGATTACAGGCTATTGACCTTGCGCATTCATCTCTCTGGGCTTCGGTTTCCTCATCTGTGAAATGAGTAGTACTCACCGTCTTTGTATCATAAGATGTTGTGAAGTTTAAAGGAGATAATCATCAAAAACTACCTAATGAGTTATACAGTGTTAATCCTTTATATTTGAGACAGTCTTGCTCTGTCACCGTAGCGGGAGTGCAGTGGTTCGATCTCTGGCTCACTGCAACCTCCACCTCCCAGGTTCAAGCAATTCTTCTGCCTCAGCCTCCCAAGTAGCTGAGACTGTAGGCACATGCCACAACACCCGGCTACTTTTTGTAGTTTTAGTAGAGACAGAACTTCACCATGTTGGCCAGGCTGGTCTCGAACTCCTGACCTCAGGTGGTCCGCCCGCCTTGGCCTCCCTAACTGCTCAGGGGTTCAGGTCATTGCTGGTATCTTAGTTGCCAGTTGCCATTACAGTGCAGCCAACAGTGAACCTACTGTGTGTGATGGTAACAACTCCTCGTTCTCCCCCTGTGCTTTTCTTTGCTCACTGCCTCCCACTGCACAGTCAGTCTTTCTCGAGTCAACAAAGCCATCCAAGGACCACCTCCTCTATGACACTTATTAAAATAGCTCACCCCACGCCCACCATCTCCCAAGCTGAAAGTGGTTCAGGGACTTCACCTTCATGTGTGGTATCTTGGGGGGAGTCTCTCTCCCCGCTGCTAGTCTGGAAGCAGAATCCCTGCATGTATCCCCAGTACACAGTGCAGCGCCTGACACTTGGAAGGCAAATGTCGTTCCATAATAATGACAGTCGCAGGCTTCCTAGAATGTATAAGGTAAATGATCTTACAGGAAATTCCAAAAGACACCCCCAATTTATCTAGGGTTGTTGAAAGTTTCTCCTGGTACTCGTTTTGGAGTGAAGTGAGCTGTCACGTTGCCTCGAGCCAGGAATCCTCTGGCATCCACCTCGTTTTTTATTGTAATGGAATTGTTGTGCCTTGCTGTGGGCAAAGCCGATGTATTTATGAATAGGAGCCTGAAAATAAATCAGGACAAAAAAGCCTTATCCCAAAAGGCAGAAGGGAATGGATTCCTAGCCCTGTAGCCCTGGGGCATGTGGGAAAACGGCAAGTGGAAACTTTGCCTCATTTTATCTGGATATTTTAGGCAAATTGTGCCTTTCCAGTCCATAATATAACCTTTCATTAAATCATGTTTATTGATTTTTTTCTCATTATCAAGTAACACATGTGCATTGCAGAAATTTCTGAAATGGCAGATTGAGAGAATAAGAAAATAAAGTTTGCTTGTCATCCACCATCCAGAAATAAGGATGTCAGCATTTTTTTTGCAGGTCCCCGACTACCCTCCAGGGCCAGGCACGAAGCACTAGAATCTTAACTTCGTGTGACCCCTGCAGGGTGCGCTGACCATGGGAACCTGGAGGTCTGTGGTGCTGAACCCCACTACATTCCGTGGGAATGCAGACTAGGAGTTGCCAGCCAAATCTCCTGATTTTTTTTCAGTACTCTTCATATTTAAATAAGAAAGAAAAACACCTTTGGGCCAGATGAAGACTTCGGTTGCATTCCTGTAGATGATTGTATGGCATCTTGATTATTTTTCTGTTTTGAGACATGAACGGTTGTCATTACTTAGATACCAAATACAGTCAGGATGAGGCATCAGAGGGCTTTGTGTTCACTCCTTGGTTACAGGGACTGTAGATGTAACTTAGAAGCATGAGGTTCACGAGAAAATCCTTCTAGAATTTTCACTCCTTCAATAAGTACTGATTGAGCAGCTACCGTGTGTCAGGCACGGAGAATTCAGTCTTGATCCAGGCTGACCAGGCCCGTGAACTCAAAGCCCTCCCACTCTAGGACGAAGAGAGACAGTACCTAAGCACGGGTAAACCAGAACATAAGATCAATAAGGGGAAATGCTCTGCAAAAAAATGAAGATAAAGTCATGTGAGAGTGACAAGTCAGAGGTAGCAGTGAGCTTAGCTTGTTCAAGAATCCAAAATAAAGTCCCAGTAGCCAGAAGGTGGTAGATTAGGGTAGCTGGAAACAAAAGGAGGCTGGAGAAAGCGGCAGGACTTTGTGGACCAGGTAAGGAGTTTGGATTTTATTGCAAGCACGAAGCAAGGTGCTTGTGGCATTTAAGTGGGGGATGATGGATGTGGCTACTATAGCAACAGGTTATAGTGGGCAAAAGTAAGAGGGGGTGACAGTTAAGGAAGCTGCTGCAGAGGCCCAGGTACAAAATGATGGTGGCTTGGACCAGGATTCTGGCAGTGTATAAGGAGAATAGAGGATAGAAGGGGCCAGGTGTGATGGCTCACACCTGTAATCTGAGCTATGCAGGAGGCTGAGTCAGGGAGAATTGCTTGAACCCGGGAGGCAGAGGTTGCAGTGAGTCGATTTCATGCCACTGCACTCTAGCCTGGGTGACTCTCCATCTCAAAAAATGAAAAGAAAGTGAAGGGAGGCAAGTAATCAAAGATTGACTTCTACATTTTTTTTTTGACTGCTGCTTTCTGGAAACACTTTCTTCCTTTGACTCCAAAGACAGCAAGTTCTCCTGCTTCACAGAACACACTGGCAGTGCTTTACGTGTCTACTGTCATGATAACACTGTGTAACCACCAACTCCCAAATCAGTGTTTTCAAACAATACGCATTTATGTAACGCTCAAGTTTGCAGATCAGCTGGACAGTTTTTCCAGTCCGGGCTGGCCTTGCTCCTGTATCTGCAGCCAACTGCAAGTCGGGAAGTGGCTCTGTGGTCCTTGGCTGGGAATAGTTGCCTGAGCCTAGGATGGCTTCAGCTGGGACAACTAGGGTAGCTCTGCTGTTTCAAATGTCTCCTCCTCCAGCAAGCTAGCCCAGGCATACTCTCATGGTGACCTCAAGAGAGCAAGAAAGCAAACAGAAATGTGCAAGGCATCTTGAGGCCCTGCCTCAGAACTGACAGGACAGCCCTTCTACCACTGTCTGTTGTCCAAAGAAGATTCCAGAGGTAGAAAACTAGGTTCTGCCTCCCAGGTACAAGGAAACTTGCAAAGTCACATGGAAGAGAGCATAAGATACAGGAGATGGGAGATTTGGGGACATGAATGCGGGCGACCACTGGCTCTTTCATGACTGTATCTTTGCTGTCCAATACGGTAGCCACAGGTGGCTATTTCAGTGTAAATTAACTAAAACTAAATACAATTTAAAATTCAGTTCCTCAGTCACACTGGCCATATTTCAAGTGCTCAGCAGTAGCACATTGCTAGTGACTTGGGAGATGGGGACCCCAAAATCTCATAAATCATCACTAAAGAACTTATGTAACCAAATACCACCTGTTCCCCCCAAATCCTGTGGAAATAAAAAACTTTTGGCCAGGCGCAGTGGCTGACACCTGTAATCCCAGCACTTTGGGAGGCCGAGGCGGGCGCATCACTTGAGGTCAGGAGTTTGAGACCAGTCTAGCCAACATGGTGAAACCCTCCTCTCTACAAAAATATAAAAAATCAGGCATGGTGGCTGATGCCTGTAATCCAGCTCCTCGGGAGGCCGAGTCGGGAGAATCGCTTGAACCCGGGAGGCGGAGGTTGCAGTGAGCCAAGATCACACCACTGCACTCCAGCCTGGGTGACAGAGTGAGACTCTGTCTCAAAAATAAATAAATAAAACATTTCTGTCATCGTAGGAGGTTTATATGACAGCCCTGCCTAGATTTTGCTGCAGTGGTGGAATGACAGCACAATCCCTGGACTGTCCACTCCCAAAGTCCAGATTTAAAACAAGTTTGCATGAACTTTGAATGCCCAGCAAACAATCTGAGGACTGTTCAAGTTTCATTTTTTTTTCCATGCCCCCTGGAAGGCAATCCAGTAACAAGGCAATGATTTCAGGAGATGTGTGAACACAAGAAGGCAGCTTCCCTAACTGTTATAATTGGACATAAAGACTTAAAACTCCAGATCAGGACCAGAGGGAAGGCTGCGTTTAGCTGAGCAGGGACAATGATTTGTGAAATGCTGTTACGAAGGACCCACAAGCGCCTTCTTAGTGCTGTGCAATTTACACATTGCAGAAGCGGCAGCTTTTTATCTGACAAGTAGGAAAGATACCAAGCGGGGCTCCTCCAAGGTTCTCCTCTTTTGCTCTCTGCTTCCCCCTTTTCTCTGGACATCGCCGCTTCGCTACCCTGTCCCTTTCAGCCAGCAAGCTTTTGTGGATCAAAGACATGCATTTTAAAACAACAAGCCACTTTTGCATGTGTGTTTATCTCAGATTGGCAATCGTTGTTAATGATGATAACCAGTGTGAGTGGTAAGGACTGTGAGAGAATAAATCAGTACTTCCGCAACAGTTAAGCTGCAGACACGAAGAGCCTCGGAGATTTAAACAGAGGCGAGACAAATGAAAGGTTTTGCTCAAAGATGTTGAATGCAGCACTGTTTACAGAAGCAAAAAATTAGAGTTATCATCCAATGATACGGAACTTGCTTTATAAAATCTGGTATTACCGATGATGAAACACCGAGCATCAACACATACAAAACCATGTCTTCAGAGACTTTTCAAAGATGTGATAATCCTCAGGAAATACTATACAAAGAAGACAGAATAATAGCTAGGATAGATAGATGCCAACTATGTAGTGTTTATGCAAATAGATGCACAGGAAATAAGGCCAAAGGGAAATCCATCAACATGACAGTGTTCACACCCCATTTTCACTGCCCACTACCAAGCACCAGAGGACTCAATATCTGTGAATTGACATCATATATGGGAAGAGGCATGGAAAGTAGTCATTTTACTTTCTTTGTTGTACTTTCCTACAGTCAGCATGGTTTTCATTTATAATCAGCAAAAGAAAAAAGTATTCCTAGTCATTGAGATCATAGATACAGAGGGAGCAGCTTTCAGACAGATGCAAGGAAAATGGTAGGCACTGTACACGATGGGGACTGCTTTAGGGACAAAACTAGCTTGGTGGGTGGGGAGCCTCCCTGTGATCCTACACACCTTGGGCCCTAACCCATGAGCGCCTGTGTTTTCAGGTACTACCCAATGGGCCACCCAGCATCTGTCCACCTCTACTTCCTTGCCGACCGCTTCCAGGGCTTTCTGATCAAGCATCATGCTACCAATCTGGCCGTGAGCAAACTGGAGACTCTGGAGACCTGGGTGATGCCAAAAAAAGTCTTCAAGATCGCAAGCCCACCCAGCGACTTTGGGAGGCTTCAGTTTTCCGAGGTAAGAGGCCAGGTCTTGTCACATTTCATTGTATTTTGCAGTTCCCTTGGCCAGATTCTACTCTAGTATCTGACACTTCTAGTTGGAGATGGAGGAGAAGAGGACTTGGAGAGCCCTAAAGATAAGCTAACCCCGTGCCCGGAGAAGGCTCTCCGGCCCCAGTCACTGGCACCAGCATCTTCAACAGGGAAAGATGAAACCAACTGGAACACGGATGTATTTTTTAGGGTAGAATTTCTGCCCCTCTGAATATTTTATCCTAGCCAGTGATGACTCCTAAACCAATGTCAGTAATATTAGTCGCATTTTCCAGAATGGAGAACTGAGGCTGATAGAGATCCAAAGATTTTCTGGATTGCTAGGAAGTGGGAGAGCTCAAAATTCAACCTAGGTCTCTTTGGCCACAAATCCTATGCTGAGTTGTGGTTTTGTCTCCCCAGTTTTTAGCACCCATGGATTTGCTCAAGGGAAGTACCAGATCAGTCACTGACTAGATGAGTAGATGGATGATGGATTGAAGGAAGGATGGATGGACAGATGGGTCACATAGCTAGCTTTTTTTTTTTTTTTTTTGATCATTCTGATCTAAATCCAAATGATATACCTTCAGAGAAGCCTTCCCCGGCCACCCACTTAAGCTGCTGCAATAACTACATTCTCCACCCAACCCTTCCCTATTTTAATACTTTTTCGTAGCATTTACTATCTAAAATTATCTTGTTGCTTTATCTGGTCACTCATTGATTGTTCACAGGAGAGTTGGAACTGTGTCTCCCTCTTCACTGCGGTATCTCCAGCACACAGAGAGTACATAGTGTTTGTAGATGTTGAGTAAGACTTCTGAATGAGTGAGTGAGTGTACCTGGGTCGTGGTGCAGGAAGGAAGGGGAAGCATGATCAAGCCTGGTGCCTGTTGTTCACACAAAACTACAGCACCTGGTTTCTGCCTTTCTCACATCTGCAAGGGCTAAGGAGGTGATTTGTCTCAATGGTTCTGACTGCTGGATTAGGGACCAAGAGTCTGATTGTAGACTGTGGTACATCTTGAGGGGCTGAGAGTATGTTGGGGAGAGGGGGAGTCCCACCTGCTTATATTTTCCTTGACAGTCCTTCTTTAGCTTCTGTGGCCCTGCCTAACCTGTTCTCCAGCGAATGTATGTATCCCCATGAAAAACAGGCACCAGTGAGAGTTTCTTGTTGAGCCACTGTTTTCAATTAAGACTCCTAGTGGATTTGCTGGATGTGAGCTGCCAAGGGAGCCCACTCCATAAATTATTGGTGTCAGGGGGCAATTAGATACTGCCCCAGTTGGATTCTGTGCTAGGGGCCTGAGCAGCCAATTGACAACATTAATGTCCCATTAAAGAGATGAATGCCTGGTGTCTGGGCTCTCCCTGCTTATCAGCCTGCTGTTGGGCAACTGGGTACTTCTGGCAGTGACAAATGATGTTGGCCTCCCCATGGCTAGTGCTTTGGGGGAGGGTCCTCACTACACAGGTCTGGTACCCTTGGTGTGAGAACCATCAAAATCACTGGCAAAAATAACAGCATGTGATGCAGAGAGCCCTCACTTGTATTTTGAATTTTTTCTAAAGTCTTAATTTTAATGGCAAATGAACAGAAAGGGAAGGAAGAACCACAGGGCCACTCTGCAGGCTGTTTAGGATCTCCTTGGAGTTAGCACCATCCCAGGGCCTTGCAGAGTGCCTGACTCACAGCAGGTGGCTGAACAGCTCAGATACATTTCTCCAGTCCATGGGAATCTCATGCTATTGACTTGGAAAAAAAAGATGCTCATTGTTTCTGCAGGTAGTCACCAAGTGCTTACAATGTGCCAGGTTCAGGAGGGATCGTGGTGAACCAGACAAACCAGGCCCCTGTGGTCATGGAATTGCAGTCCAGTGGGGCAGCCAGCCAATGAGTGAGCAAACAGATAAACAAAAACAGCTCAGCTAATGACAGATATCCTAGAGAAAACTTCATTCATGTGATTCCTGGGGACTCAGGACCTTGATGGGGACAACCTTTGATAGAATGATTCATCTAGGAAGGCTTTTCTAAAGAGATCACTGCAGAGCTAAAGCCTGTAAAAGAACCAGTCCCTGGGGAGATCTGGAGCAGAGAGAAGAGCATATAGAAAGGCCCTGAGGCACTGGGAATGAGCTAGGAGTACTCGAGTTGCAGTGAGACCAATGCACTGAGTGCAGCAAGTGAGAAGGAAACTGCTAGGAAAGAGGCCATAGGGAGTAGTCTTGCAGGCCCTGGAAAGACGTTCAGGTTGTATTTTAAATGCAATGGAAAGATAGAGGGAAAATGGCAGATAGGAGGCAGGACGAACTTGCAGCTCCCACTCAGATGGACAGACCAGTGTGTGGAGCCCCACATCATGAACTTTTGCTCCCAGAAATACTGCAGAAACATGCCAGGAAAGACAAGAGAATCCATAGAGCCTTTAAAGGAGGTGGATTGCCCTGCAGGCTCCGTGGGAGAGCCAAGGAACTGTGAATCCCCAGAAGATCACACTAGCTCACCAGTAATGGATTCAAATCAAGACGAAATCTCTGAATTACCAGAAAAAAGATGTTCGACTATTAAGCCAATTAAGGCGGCACCAGAGAAAGTCAAGTCCAACTTAAAGAAGTTTTTAAAAAAATGATATAGGATATGAATGGAAAAATCTCCTGTGAAATATAACCTAAATAGAAAACAGTCACAGCTTCTGAAAATGAAGGACACACTTAGAGAATTGCAAAATGCACTGGAAATCGAATCAAATGAGTAATAGAAAGAACTTCAGAACTTGAAGACAAGGCTTTCAAATTAACCCACTCCAACAAAGACAACAAAGAATTTTTAAAAATGAACAAAACCTTCAAGAAGTTTGGGAGTATGTTAAATAACCAAACTTAAGAATAATTGCTGTTCCTGAGGAAGAAGAGAAATCTAAAAGTTTGAATAATGAGAGAATAATTGAGGAAAACTTCCCCAGCCTTGCTAGAGATCTAGACATCTAAATAGAAGAAGTGCAAAGAATACCTGGGAAATTCATTGCAAAAAGATCACGCCTAGGCACATAGTCATCGAGTAATCTAAAGTCAAGACAAAGGAAATAATCTTAAGACGCAAAAGCATCAGGTAACCTATAAAGGAAAACCCATCAGATTAACAGCAGATTTCTCAGCAGAAACCCTACAAGCTAGATGGGTCCTATCTTTAGCCTTCTTAAACAAAACAATTATCAGCGAAGCATCGTGTATCCAGCGAAACTAAGCTTCATAAATGAAAGACACAGTTTTTTCAGACAAATGCTAAGATAATTCACCGCTACCAAGCCAGCACGACAAGAACTGCTAAAAGGAGCTGTAAATCTTGAAACAAATCCTCAAAACAAACCAAAATAGAATCTCTTTAAAGCATAAATCTCACAGGTCCTGCAAAACAACACAATGAAACAAACCAAGGTATTCAGGCAACAAATAGCACGATGAATAGAATAGTACCTCACATCTCAATACTACTGTGGAATGTAAATGGCCTAAAAGCTTCACTTAAAAGATACAGAATCAGTAAGAATTCACCAACCAGGTGTCTGTTGTCTTCAAGAGACTTGCTTGGCACATAAGGACTCACATGAACTTATGGTAAAAAGGTGAAAAAAGATACTCCATGCAAATGGACACCAAAAGTGAGCAGGACTAGCTATTCTTATCAGACAAAACAAAACTTTAAAGCAACAGCAATTAAAAAAGACAAGGAGGGACATTACATAATGATAAAAGGACTAGTCCAACAGGCAAATACCACAATCCTAAATATATATGCACTAACACTAGGGCTCCCAAAACAATTACTACCAGACCTAAGAAATGAGATGGACAGCAACACAGTAATATTAACATACTTCATCAAGACAAAGTCAATAAACAAACAGTGGACTTATGCTATACTCTACAACAAATGGACTTAACAGATACTTATAGAACATTTTACCCAATAATAATTCTATTATACATGCTATTCATCAGCACATGGAACATTCTCCAAGATAGGCCACATGATAGGCCACAAAACAAGTCTCAACAATTTTAAGAAAATCAAAGTACAGTGAGTACTCTCCTCAGACCACAGTGGAATAAAATTGGAAATTAACTCCAAAAGGAACCGCCAAAGTCATGCAAATACATGGAAACTAAATAACGTGCTCCCGAATTCAATGCTTCTGGGATACAGCAAAGCCAGTGCTAAGTGCAGAGTTCATAGCATTAAATGCCCACATCAAAAAGTCAGAAAGAGCCCAAACAGACAATCTAATATCACACCTTAATGAGCTAGAGAAACAAGAACAAACCCAAATCCACCAAGGAGAGGTAAAAGACCTCTACAAGGAAAACTGCAAAACACTGCTGCAAGAAATCACAGATGACACAAACAAATGGAAATACATCCCATGCTCTTGGATGGGTAGAATCAATATTGTGACCATGACCATACCACCAAAAGCAATCTACAAATTCAGTGCAATTCCCATCAAAATACCACCATCATTCTTCACAGAACTAGAAAAAAACAATCCTAAAACTCATATGGAACTAAAAAAGAGCCTGCCGAGCCAAAGCAAGACTAAGCAAAAAGAACAAATCTGGAGGCATTACATTACCCAACCTTAAAGCATACTATAAGGCCATAGTCACCAGAACAGCATGGTACTGGTATAAAAACGGGCATATAGACCAATGGAACAGAATAGAGAACCCAGAAATGAAGCCAAATACTTACTGATCTTCAACAAAGCACACAAAACCAAAGTGGGAAAAGAACACCCTATTCAACAAATGGTGCAGAAATAATTGGCAGGCCACATGTAGAAAGACAAAACTAAATCCTCATCTCTCACCTTATACAAAAATCAACTCTGGATGGATCAGACTTTAAGACATGAAACCATAAAAATTCTAGAAGATAAAATTGGAAAAACCCTTCTAGACACTGGCTTAGGCAAAGACTTCATGACCAAGAACCCAAAAGCAAATGCAACAAAAACAAAGATAAATAGATAGGACTTAATTTAAAAAGTTTCTGCAAGGCAAAACAATCAGCAGAGTAAACAGACAACCCAGAGAGTGGGAGACAATCTTTGCAATCTATAGATCCAACAAAGGACTAATTTCTAGAATCTACAAGGAACTCAAATCAGCAGGAAAAAACAATCCCATCAAAAAGTGGGCTAAGGCCATGAATAGACAGGTCTCAAAAGAAGATATATAAATGGCCAATGAACTTACGAAGAAATGCTGAACATCACTAATGATCAGGAAAATGCACATCAAAACCACAATGTGATACCACCTTACTCCTGCAGGAATGGCTATAATAAAAAAATAATAGATGTTGACATGGATGTGGTGAAAAGGGAACACTTTTATGCCGTTAGTGGAAATGTAAACTAGGACAACCACTATGGAAAGCAATGTGGAGATTCCTTAAAGAACTACAAGTAGTTCTACCATTTGATCCAGCAATTCCACTACAGGCTATCTACCAGAGGAAAAGAAGTCATTATACAAAAAAAGATTCTTGCACATGCATGTTTATAGCAGCACAATTCGCAATTGCAAAAATATGGAACCAGCCCAAATGCCCATCAGTCAATGAGTGAATAAATTCCACACCATGGACTATTACTCAGCCATAAAAAGGAACGAAATAATGGTATTTGCAGCAACCTGGATGGAATTGGAGACCATTATTCTAAGTGAAGTAATTCAGGAGTGGAAAACCAAACATTGTATGTTCTCATAAGTGGGAGCTAAGCTATGACAAAACAAAGGCTTAAGAATGATACATGGCTTTGGGGACTCAGGGGCAAGGGTTGGGGGATATGGGGGATAAAAGACTACACATGGGGTACAGTGTATACTGCTCAGGCGATAGGTGCACCAAAATCTCAGAAGTCACCACTAAAGAACTTATTCATGTCACCAGACACCACCTGTTCCCCAAAAGCCTATTGAAATATATACATATACACACATATTATAAACTCAAAAAATAATAATAATAAATGCAATGGAAAGCCACTGGTTGGTTGGAAGTCAGGGAGCAGTATGTTAAGCTTGAATTTGAGTATGTATTTGAATTTGGGTAATTGACCATTCTGCAGTGGATGGTGGTGAACTTCCACAGTGAGGCCCCTTGAGAAGGTCTTAGAGGTCACAGAGGATGTGACAGCAGCAGAGCCCCAGCTCAGGCTGCCCCACCCCTCACCCGTCATGCTCCTCGGTTGAGAAACAAGACCCAGGTTGGTTGTCAGCTGCTCCAGAACCCTCCTGCCCAGGTTATCTTGGTTTTAAAACTCAGATTCCAGGAAAGTATTTATCCTCATTTCTTTGGAGAATCCAAGGGCAGTGTTCTGGAGGGTTCCCATCTTCCCCTAACTGGTGAAAAATCTCTTCCTTAAATATGACCCTAAAGTAGTTTTGTGGCCATTCATCTGTTTTGTTAGTATCTGTTGGAAACTAGTGCGTAGAGGGAAGTCCATGTGTTCAGCCCCTACTCATTCAGTATGTGTTCAAGATAGATTGATAGACAGGTGATACATAGATGATTAACAGACAGATAGATGGGTGGATAGATTAATAGGTAAACAGATGGACAGATCATTGATGGATAGAATAGAGATAGATGATAAACACATAAGTAGATGATCAATCTACATAGATCATCAGTTGATCAATAGACAATAGGTGCTCAATATATCTCTATTTCTAGATCTCTATAGAGATATTGAACATCTACAGTAGATAGATATAGAAATAGAGATATATTGAGCATCTACTCTATGCTCAGCACTGTTTCAGACACTAGAGACATGTTGGTGAGCAAGTCCTGCCCTCATGGAGTTAACAGTCTAGAGCTGGAGAGAGAGAGAGACCTATAAATTAAAACATGCAGTACTGTGGGGGTGAGGAGAAAAGCTCTGATGATCAAATGCTTAAAGATGTACCTCAGTGGTGCCTCTGTCCAGGAAAGACTTCTGAGTAGAGGTGATACCTGAGCCAAAACCTGGATAACAAGTTTGAGCTGGCTAGGACGACGCTGGGAAAGGTAGACCGGTCCAGAGAACAGGCGGATCATGGCCAGAAGATCAAGAGGAAACAGAGAGCCCTTCAGAATGAGGTGCTGAGAGTAACCCAGGGTGGCCTGGAGCAAGGAGCGAGTGGAAGGGAGGGAGAGGGATAGAGATGACAGAGGTGAAGCTGGAGCCAAACCAGAAAGGTCTCCAGGAGAGGTGAGAAACTGGACTTACAAACCAGGCATTGCTGAAAGCGGTTATAAGTAGGAAAATAGAAATCGGGCTTCTTTAGAGAAATCTCCATAGACCTTTCAAGGTCTGAACTGAATCCTGTTGATCATTCATTTATTCCTTCAAGAAATAGTATCCTTTTAATTTCTACTGTGTTCTGGGCACTTTGCTAGGCACCAGGGCAGGGGCGAGGGGACAGAAGGTGCTGGTCCCTGCTGATCCACAGGGTAGTAGAAAAATACCAAGATTTCGTAAGTCTGGGAGGGACGGCAACCCCTGCAGGAACGTCAGAGCAGTAACTACCTCTGTTACTCTCAGGGTGTTTTTTTTTTTTTTTCTTTTTTTGAGACGGAGTCTTGCTCTGGCTCCCAGGCTGGAGTGCAGTGGCCTGATCTCGGCTCACTACAACCTCCACCTCCCGGGTTCAAGCGATTCTCCTGCCTCAGCCTCCTGAGTAGCTGGGACTACAGGCGTCCGCCACCACTCCTGGCTAATTTTTGTATTTTTAGTAAAGACGGGGTTTCACCATATTGGCCAGGCTGGTCTCAAACTCCTGACCTTGTGATCCGCCCACCTCAGCCTCCCAAAGTGCTGGAATTACAGGCTTGAGCCACCGCGGCCGCGCCTGGCCCTCAGGATACTTTCTTAGTCCTAATCTTTAGTCTCTGTCCTGATGAAAACTGAAAGATATGTGCCAGTGAGTGTACACGGATGGCAGCCACCCCTGGTAGGCAGTAGGGATTCGATTTATATGTGTTGGGTGAATGAATGACTGAGAGAGTGAATGAATTAATGAATGGGAGGCAATATGTAGCATAGTGGATGAGAATGCAGCCTCTGGGGTTGGACTTCCTGGGTTCCCATGCTGGCTCTGCACCCTCTGACCATAGCGAGTTATCTCACTTCGCTGAGACTCAGTTTCCACATCTGTAAAGTGAAGATAATGACAAGGGTCTCCCCTTTATGGATTTGGGAGTATCAAATGAATGGACATGTCTGCCTGGCACAATGTAATCCCCCAGCAAATATTAGCAGTGGAGCTCTGTACCCTGGGTAAAGAATGGACTGACATGGTAACTCTTGCAAGAACAATGAGAAACTAGATCAGCTCCTATTTCCCCTGCACATAGGAAATCTCAGAATGTAGGTGTGTGTATCCACACCCGACCTTCGTGCGCACGCAGATTAGAGATGCTAATTATGGGAAGACAACAGAGGCAGTGCAAGCTCATACTGTACCCGTTATTTGCCCCAACATGCCTACATGCTGTGTCCTCAAAACCACTAAATTAATCCACCTGGGGGAGATCTCTTTTTTCAAATTAGACGACCCCTGATTTCATTTGATTTGAAATAGCAACAAAGCTCATTGTCAGGAATCTCCCGAGTTCATTCATTTTTTGGTCAAGCCATTCACCCGTTCATTCAACAAACATTGCTCGAGCACCTACAGTGTACTAAACATGGTAGTAGGCACCAAGAAAGAGCAGAGAACCTGCTAGGTAAAGCCCCCGTTCACACAGAGCTTATATTACAGCTGGAGGAGATAAGGAATAAATACATCGACAGACAACTCTGAGATAGTGCTTATACCAGTGGTAGGAAGAAAATAAAGTGGTAGGGAATGACACAGATTGACTGAAGGTCCATTTAAAATTTGGGGTGGGCGGGGTGGTCAGGTAAAGACTCTGTGAGGCAGCTTTAGACATAAGGGGCTGGCTGTGCAAGGAAGGCGTATTCCACACAGGGCAGATGGTGCGGGAATGCTGAGCTGGAAATGAACCTGCCTTGATTGAAGTGGCTAAAACAAGGCATCCTGGAGAAAGATGGGGAGGGGGTCATGGAGTTGGAGGACGGGGCGAGCTCAGACTCTGAGTGCACTAAGAAGCCTGGGGGCAGCAGTAAGAGGACATTTTACAAGGCCTTTCTGACTACAGGATATAGAAGAAATTGCAGGTGGCACAAGTGGAAGGAGGGAAGCCCAGAGAGGATTGCGGTGGGTCACAGCCGCACACATCCCCAGCTGGCTGGCAGGAAGGAAGGATCGCAGGATGACTCTCATGCTTACGTTCCAGCTCTAGGTGCCTTGGGAAAGCCAGAGCTGTCTCTTCCTAGGAAACCTATTTGAACCCCCGTAGATGACAGGCAATGCTCAGGGTCTCTAGCGTATGATAGAGCAGCTGTAATAACATAACCTTTATTCTTGTTCAGAACCATTGCACAAAGTGGACGTGTATGATTTGGAAAACCAAGGACAGAAGTGGAAACCAGCTATACCTGTTGAGTGGCAGGGTGTATGTTTGTGTGGAATGGCCTGCAAGCAAGGCATTCATTCATTCATTCATTCATTCACTCATTCACTCATTCAGTCCATGTTTGGTTTTCTTTTCAAAGCACACGCCATACACCAGGCACAGGAGGCCCGGTGGTTTAAATAAAAGGACCACAGGCCTTGTGATCCTTCAGACTGAGTCCGGATCCCAGATCTTCTGCTTATAAGCTGTGCAACCTTGAGCAGGTGACTTAGTTGGAGCCTCAGTTTCTTCATCTGTAAAATGGGCATATGAAAGCTAACACAGGGGATCCTAGGCCTTTCTGAGACCTAGCACCCTAGTTCAGGCCCAGTGACTTCAGAATTCACTCCCCTGTTTTAGGTCGGCACTGACTGGGATGCCAAGGAGCGGCTGTTCCGCAACTTTGGGGGTCTCCTGGGGCCCATGGATGAGCCGGTGGGTATGCAGAAGTGGGGGAAGGGGCCCAACGTGACCGTGACCGTCATTTGGGTGGATCCCATCAACGTCATCGCAGCCACCTACGACATCCTGATTGAGTCCACTGCCGAATTCACGCACTACAAGCCCCCTTTGAACTTGCCCCTGAGGCCTGGGGTCTGGACAGTGAAAATTCTCCACCACTGGGTGCCAGTTGCAGAGACCAAATTCCTCGTTGCGCCTCTGACCTTCTCCAACAGGCAGCCCATCAAACCGGGTGAGTACTCCCAGCATCTCTGTGGGGGAAACATTCCTTCCCCGGGAACCTGAGGGTCTCTGGTGTCGGTAGGCAGCACTGCTCAGATGTAGGGCAAGCAGCGTCCTTGCAGAACGGCACTCCTTGCTCTCAGTACTTTTCTCTGCGTTTCCCTAGAGAACCATCTAATTTCCTACCTGCACACTGAGATGTCATCTGTGCAGGTATCAGATACCTATTTGTTAGATGTTCTCCCACTGAACTTCCAGAAGGCCTAGATCATAGTGAAGACAAGCTGGGAAATACGCCCAGGCAGGTATTAAGGATCAGCAAATCTTGTTGACTATTTTAAAAAATCCAGAACAGGAATTTCCGTTCATCAAAAATGTGATACACCAGGTGGAAAAGATGAACCACCTAATAGTGGAAGATACTTGCTACACTTTTTTAAAGTACTCATCTTCACAATTTATAAAGAAATGCCATTAATGAGAAGTTGGCCATTCCAGCCCACTACCTGTTTTTGTAAATAAAGTTTTATTGGAACACAGTCACCATGCTCATTCATTTACACGTTGCCTGCTTCTGCTTTCGAGCTATAGTGGCAGAACTGAATCGTTGTGACAGAGACTGCATGGCCCACAAAGCCAAAAATAGTTACTCCATCTGCCTCTTTAAAAACAAAAAAAAACAAACAAAAAACCACCAACCCTGCCATAAAAGAGAGGAAAAAAATGGAGGAGAGAACATGAATGGCCCCTCACACCCAGAAAAAGATGTTCAGCCTCATTAAAAATGAGAGAAATGAAAATTTAAAGCAAAGAGAGGTTCCACCTTCATACCCATATTATTGGGAAATGCATGACAGTTAGATAAGAACCTGTGTTACTAAGGCTAGGAGTAACAGGCATTCATGCAGTGCTAGTGGGAGGGTGAAGTGATGAGATGAGTTTAGAAAATGGTTTAGTATCTCCTAGTAAAGCTGAACATACACACACCCTACAATAGACATTTCACTCCCAGGTATAGGCTCTAGAGACTTGTACAGAAATGCTCACATGAGAGTTATTCTTAATAGCACAAAACCAGAAACAGTCTGATTGTCTGACACTGGAAAGGAAAAGCAATTGGCTGCCTGTTCATACAATGGAATATTAGGCAGCAGTGAATATCAGTAAAGCATGGCATATGTTGGCTTGGATGAGTCCCTAAAACATAGTGTTGAGGGGGAAATATCATAGATAAATCATTATGATGCATTTCTGTCAAGTTCAAAAACAGGCAAAGTCAACAGTATCTTATTTCATGTGTCAAAGGCAGCTGTTAGGAAATGAAACACAAAATTAACACGAAATTCAGGTCAGGGTTTCCATCCCCATGGAGAACAGGGACTGGGATGTCAGTTCCTAACCTGCCTTTTTTCTTTGTCCATTCAAAGGGTTTACGTTTATACTTCTGTTTCCCCTCTTTTCACCTCCTTTTATTAAGGGGAAAGTCTTTCTCCCTGCTCAGATCCTACCTCTAGAGAAACCACTGCCAACAGTTTGGTGTGAATTCTTTTAGAAGTTTTTCAATACTTTTAAACCATAAACATAACACACATCATAAATGACAAAACCTTTGCTATTTTTAAAAAATGAAATCATACATTTTGTACTGTAAGATTGCTTTTTTTTAACTTTCTAAGTCAGTATATATGAAGCTACCAGCTACATGATATTC